CAGTAACGAAAATGAAAGATTTGGGCAGCCTTATAATTCCTTGCGGGTTTGGAAATTCGACTAAGACGAATGCATTATCCGATTCTGGAGCTAGTATAAATTTGATGCCATACTCGTTCTACAAAAATCTCAATCTTCCATAGTTAAATCCAACAAGAATGGATATCCATATAGCCAATCGATCTGTTACATATCCACGATGCATAATAGAAGACTTGCTTGTTAAAGTTGACAAATTTGTTTTTCCAGTTGATTTTGTTGTCCTCAATATGGAAGAAGATGGTGATATTCCCATTATTCTTAGAATACCATTCCTTAGTACCACGCGAGCCCTCGTCGATATTCACGACTTGAAGTTAACATTACGAGTGGGGACCGAAGATATCACATTTGGAGTCAATTAAATGACAAAGTTTTTACGATCAACAGGCGATGAGGTAAAATTAATGATGAAAAAAGAAGAATCTAAGGAAAATAAAGAGCATTTTGAAGATGGGAAGCCAATGAAGGAAGAAAAACAAAAGAAGGCTGAACAACACTCACCACAACGTAGTGAGGACGAGACCGCGTCGTGGTCCAAAGAAACTTCTCGATCTGAGTTCGAAGCATTTTCTACACCGTGCTACCACCAATCTGATAACCACGATGTGGCACACATGTTTTCGAATTTGCATATTTATATTTCAGCATTTTCGACTCCAAAAAGTTCTGAACTTTTTACCGAAACTTCAGAGTCGAAAGAAAGCCAAATATTGGGGAATTCCAATGTGAGTTTGGAACATAATGCGCAGGTTCATAAGTAGTGTGCGAAAAAAGTTGAAAAGTATTTGGGAATGTAAATGAGAAAGGCACTAAAAAGAATTGTGATGATAATGCATAAACGAGAATGAAACAGAAGAAAGACGAAGGCAAGAGCTCAAGGAAGAAAGAGAATACATATAAGGCGTACAAAAGAATAGTTGTTGCGTTTAAACGAAGAAGGGCATAATTAAATATGAACATGGAGGTACCCCTTCAAATCACATAAATAATTTAAGTGAGGGGTGGGTCCGACTGATGATTCCTAAAAAAGAAGCGTTTTGCGGGATGCAACCCGATACTAGTTTTCTGCTATGTTTTATGCCACGAGTCCACTATTTTCATCATGGATGTTTAGATTCCGAAAGTTGTCCAAAAAAAAGATTCAAATTTGGTATCGAAAAGAAAACCACAACAGTCAATCCAATCTCGCGACTATATACCCAAGGCGAATTCGTTCCTTTTCTACATCTTTTATTTTATATATTTTAATTGTTATTATATACAACTAGGGCATTGTAGAACTTATGTTCGGGGTAGGGGATCGAAAAGAGCATGCTAGATTGAAAAGAAATAATTTTGAAAAAAATAGAGACTTGAAAAACTGGTCTAACTTAGGAAAATCTAGAAAATTTAAATTTTATTCTAATATTATTATGTTAGAACTAAGTTTTCTTTTATTGTGTGGGTAGTATTGTGTGGGATAATGTGATGTGAATTCAAAGTTTTTGTTTAGCTAATAGGTTACAATATATTTGTAGCTTCCCGATTCTAGTGAAATCATGAGACAAAAACGCAATCTTGTGTGGTTTGAGGGATATAAAAAGTTTTGCATTGTTTGCTGAAATATACCCTAGAAAATTTATGTAGTCATTGCACATTAAACTAATATCTTTAACCAATAAATATTGATGTTAAGTTTCCGAGCTTAAGCATATATTTTTATTTAAGTTTTTAGTTGAGTAAAAAAAGTGAGTTATGAAAAAGAAAAAAAATGAAAAAAAGTTGTGAAAAAAAGAGTGAAAAGATATTGAGTCAATAAGAGCTTACAAAGCATAAAGATCAATAAATTATGAAGCAAAATCGAAGTCAAAGATCTAAAAGTTATAAATTTTGAAGGCTTCGAAAGAATAGTTGTAATTTTTATTTCTATGTTATTTTATCGTATGTATGTTTGGGAAGTTAACAAAAATACCTTGAGGTTAAGAGAACTTTTGAAGGATATATTTGAAGGAATGCATAAATGAATATTGTTAAATATGATTAGGGCGTTTATGAGGATTGTGAGTATTTAGGATTTGGAAAGTAATTAGGATTTTAGACACACATATATGCATTGAGGAGAGACATAATTGGGGAATTCAAATTGGGTTATTCTATGTGATGTTGGTGAATAAGGTTTTGATATGGTAGTATAATAACAATTTGGTTTGCTTGAGGACAAGCAAAAAATATAAGTGTGGAGTATTTCGATATGCCATTATTTAACTATATATTTTAGGTCATTATCTTAATATTTGATTAAAAATGTTATATTTTAATATATATGATACTTAATATGCTTTGAAAGGTTAATTTACAGTTAAAATCGGAGCATGGATGCAAAAGGATGAGAACAAAGCTGAAACAGACAAAAAACAAATGTAACCGGAAAAATAGCTGAAAACACACCGCACCATCTTATGAGGCGTGTCGCGCCCTTATGAAAATTCCTAAAAGTCGTAAAAATTGCCCGTCTCGATATACGTGTTCGCGTGCAACAAGGAAACCCGATCACCACATCGTGGTGAGACCTTTACCATGTCGTGATGTCGTAATTTTATAAATATACGAGTTTTGCAGCCCTAATTCGGAGGCCAACTTACACCAACTTGGGGAACAAGTTATTTGACGATTCCAGACGTTTTTGAGAGATGAAGAACACCTTTGAAGTGTGTATTTAAAGATCTAGCAAGAATTCATCATTTTTATCGTTTCGGTTTGTTTAATATCATGTTTTTTAATTCCGAATTCGTTAGATTCAGTTTTCTAGTTATGATGCAAGGCTAAAAAACTTATTACTTTCATTAGATGTAGATGAAGCCTAGTTAATATGTTTTTGATTTAATTAGTAGAATTATGTGAGTTGGATTTTAACTTGTGTTCGGTTGATTGTTTATCTTTCATGTTAAAGTTGTGATTTTTATTACCTACATGTGAGTTATGTGTTTAGATGATCAATCTAGTTACATTAGTTTGATTCTTAACTGTTTATGATCATTAAATTGTTAGGAATAAAAATTTATCCAATCCTAAGGTTAGGTAATATAAGTTATTACCTTTGATTATGTTCGAGAGTTATAGTTATCCATGTTATGTTTGATCTATTGGCATGATCATTGATAAGAAATCACTAGATCATATCGTTCATAGTTGGATTAAATTAAATGGTTTTGTGCTCACTAATTGCATGATCATTGGGATTAGATGTTCATTAATCATTAGTCCTAGGATTTCGGACCAAGATAACTAGTCATAAAATCTGGTATCCAACTCATTAATCCATTGCATGCTAACGAGTCAAACATAGAAACTAGGGGGATTCATATTCTAGTGGAAGTACTTCAAATCTACTGCTTTTAACTAGTTCTTTGTTTTTGTTTGCTTAACTTGAGTGTTTAAACAAAGTTTAATAATTTAAACAAGGGAAAATTAGATATTAGCCCTACAATGTATTGCACATTTGCCCATTCAGTCCCTTAACTTATTTTTGTGCTTTATAAGGGAATAAACTTGTTTTTATCTGGTCTATTTGATCATTTTGGACAAATTGAAGGGGTAACCCAGTTACCCCTTTTCCAAATAGACTGACTTTGAAAAGCCTCACCTCTTTTGACCTAACACATGTCTCGTTTCTCCTCCAAACCCATGACTCGATTGACCCCTTCCACCACCTGTAACACTTTACATGGTCATCTTCTTTTGCATCGTCGTCTTATTTTGGAGTTTCCGTCTCTCATAAACCCTTTAAATCGAAGAATAATCACACCCTTCCTAGAAAAAGGCTTCTATATTGTAGCCGACATCACCATAAATATTTCTCGTGAAGCTGTTCAAAGTATTTGGGAAGACGAAGAAATGGGTGATAAAAACTGAGGTTTTAAGCCATGTATTACCTCCATTTCTCTCAAATGCAGACCTTTTTTTTCTCTTCTTGTCGACCGGAGAATTAATGGATGGAATGCAAAAGTTGCAAAGTTGAATAGTTTGAATGTTGAAATCGCCATGGGGAAATCATTAGTTCAAGATCTTGTGTATAAAGAATCAGAAGAAACTGTTTCTAAGCTTTTAAATCGTGCATTAAAAGGTATCTAACTTTTCTGTAATTGAAATTTTATGAAACTCGATGATGACGATATTGCTTTCGATAAAGGCTCGTGAAGAAGATAAAAACACCTAGATTAATTTGAGAACATTCAATTCATCGTCATCATCAGAAGAAACGACAGTTTTTATGGTGATGAATGCTTGTTCAAGCAAAGATTACACCAATAACATCGTCTGTGTTTGCTTCATCGGTCAAGATGTCACCGGACAAAAAGTCGTCATGGACAAATTCATTCAAATTCAAGGCGATTAAAAAACAATTGTTCAAAACCCTAACGCTTTAAACTCAATCTTTGCATCCAAATATGATTATCATTTCAGAAAAAGAAGAAAACATCTCATTAGAGAGAGAGAGAGAGAGAGAGAGAGAGAGAGAGAGAGAGAGACTAAAAAGAAGAAACAAATGGTCAAAATGTGATTTGACTTTTAAATGGAAAAATGCTTAAGTGACATAAAACTGGCTAATAGTATATGTTAAAAGAGACTAAAAAGACAGATCATTTCAGAGTTTATTCCCTCGTAAAGCACAAAAATAAGTTAAGGGACTGAATGAGCAAATGTACAATACATTATAGAGCTAATGTGTCATTTTCCCTTTAAACAAATCCCTCATATTTACTTTTATGTATTTAGTTTAACTATTTACTTATTTGTTTGAATCAAAATCATACCCGTTCCCTGAGAGTTCGATACATTTTCTTACGTTATGATGTATTACTCCACGACTAGGTACACTGTCTAATTATGTTGTAAAACTAGTTGAGATTTGATAGGGTTTTTATATATTTAAAACTAATGGTATAAAAATAACACATCAACGTGGCACAAAAAAAGGAATGACGAGACGAGTGGCGAGGTCTGAACGCATTATCTCTTCTAATTGCTTTATTTAACTCTTCTAATTGTTTTATTTATAGGATATTAACAACCTTTTAGTTGATAGTTACCTTTGAATGAAAATGCAATAAAAATGGTCTACTAAAATAGAAAAATGTATATATTTGATTGGTATTATAAATAAATTATTCGTTTAAAGATTTAAATATTTCTATTTAATTCTGTATATGGTCCAACGGCGATGATTGATATTTCACCTTTTTACGTTTATGTTCATATAGCCTCTAACCACCCCAAAGAATTAGAAATACAACAATAAGAAGCAATCTTTCTCATCATGAAAGCTCTTTTAATCCTCATAACGCCAAATCCAAACGTCAACATTCACAACCACCACTACCGCCACCACCACAGCCGCCATCACCACCATCCCACCAAACATCCTTCCTATCAAAGCAACACCACCAACAACATCGCTTACTTCATATCAACTTAAACATATCTGTGTCTTCACAAATCTTCACTCCCAACTGCTTTTGCTTCTTCCCGGGACACTCTATACCGGTCATGTGGATGGCAGCTCACATCTCCACCACCACCAATGCCCCACCGGGCAACACCACCGGCGTTACTGTAAGTGTATTGTAATTCATCATAATAAGATTTGAACATTTCGAGATTGCTTTTATACCATGAGTCGTTGTTTTCAGAAGAACCAGAATCAGCTTAGTGGACATCAGAAGAAGGAAGAATTAGAAAGAGAGGTAATTCAACTTTTCCATTTTTGTTATAAGATAACATTAATTAATTTGTTGGCGTATTTATCTTAAACTATGTAATCAATTTAAACAAATGTTACCATTTTCATGAAATATAACATGCATACATCTTTTGCTTTAATCAATTCGAGTACTATATAGCTTAGGTTGTGGGCATGATATTGGTAGTTTACATGTTAAATGTTTAATGGTATTATTTACAAACATGTCAAACGAATCGATCAAGAAACTCTATTTTGTAAATGCTTTCTTTAAGCAAAAAAAAAGTTATGGTTCAATTGCTGATAACATGACTTGCATACCAACACAATCATGAGTCATGGCTCACCATCCCCCATTCTTAATTGGCTTTCATCCATCTCTATATTTGTATGTAACTTGCAGAAGTTAATCTTCATGATTATCCAACGCATTTCGGTTCATATATTTCGATTCATTAAATCAGGTGTCGACGCTTCAGAAGATGTTAGACCACGAAGAAAAAGTCGGGGAGCTTTTGAAACGAACGTATCAACAACAAGATCATTCCTCTCTTCATATCCCGAATTCCCTTCCTCCAAAGGTGCCATTTTTTCCGATTTACAGTTCATTCCAACTCCAGTTCATATAATTCCTGACACCCATTTGTTTTTATATGCGACAGATGAAGGAGTTACTGACAGAACTAGCCATGGTTGAGAATGAGATCACAAGACTAGAAAGCCAAATAACCCATCTTCAAACTGACTTACATAAAGAAAAGGAAGCCACAAGAGAATCTAAAATGAAACAAGGGCAGTTTCGTCAAATTCCCAACGGTTCTCTAGCTCCGGCGACGTCATTGCTGCAACCGAACACTAGAGGATACGGTGACAAGTCGTCATTTGAGACAAAGGCATTGCACTTTATTAGTAAAGCCATAAAGGGTGATTATAGTCTCCGAGATTTCAATTCACATGAAAAGTCAAGAACAAAAATCGTATCGTTTTCTGATCACAAAGAAAATCACGAGAACGATGATGAACTTGGGACCCGGGAACGAACCCCAAGTAGAAGAACTGGGATTCTTAAACCACCGTCGCCTGCAAGAGATACAAGGCATGTAACTCCTAAGGTATGCTATAAATGTAGACATATATATTATAAGATTAGAAATATCGTTTTGATCTATATGTTTCAATTACAATATCTGGTGTTGTATCTATTACTAGAGAGAACGAAATCTCGCGGCGTCTTCAGATACGTCATCACAATCTGAAGAAGAGAACATTCTAAAATGGTCACCAAACAAACTTTCGGAAAACATTATGAAATGTTTGATCTTCATCTTCACGAGACTCTTGAGGACGTCAAGAACAATGGAGCTCGAGAAATCCGGGCCAATTTCTAGATCAGCCAACTTTTCGATGAGTTTCAGGGCTGAACCCTGCTTGAACTCGAAGGCTAGCTTGCTTCTTCAGAAGGAGTCTAGACAGCAAGACCCTTATGGGATCTTTAACCTGGAAGACTCCATTCCTAGAGACATTGGGTGCTACAAGAACTTGGTTAAGTTCACATCAAGTTCTTTGGACCCTAAATGCATTTCAAGTTCAAGTTACATTCCATTGCTACAAAAGTTGAGGTACTTTTCAAGACTTTGAGACCTGATCCCTGCATTGATGAGTTGCATCTTGTATGATCAATGATGTGCTAGTGATACTAATGTTGTACGTGCTTTCAGGGCTTATATGAATGGACTACAAAAGGTGGATTTGCTGTTTTTGTCTTCACAGCAGAAATTAGCATTCTGGATCAACATGTACAATGCTTGTATCATGCATGTAAGCTTTCCCCCTTCACCAATCACCCAAAGATGATGTTATATGTACATTTCCTTAAATGGCCAGTGTTTTGAGTTAACTTATCGTTTCAGGGTTTTCTTCAATATGGAGTTCCTTCTAGTCCAGAGAAACTACTGACCCTCATGAACAAGGTTCGTGATGATTCCCTGATCAGGAAAAGAATTTATTTATTTATTATTATTTATTTGTGTGGTGGTAAAACGACTGAAATGCCCCTGTATTTATATATATATATATATATATATATATATATATATATATATATATATATATATATATATATATATATATATATATATATATATATAGATTTGTAAGATTAACATTAATAAACCCAAAATTTTCAATGATGATCAGGCAACATTGAAGATTGGAGGCAACACAATAAACGCTCAAGCTATTGAACATGTCATATTAAGAAGGCAAGAAGCATCAATAATCGAAAAGGTGCACATGCTTAATTGGTTAATTAACCCTGGAATGGTTTCTCAATTACTCCTTTATCCAATCAAGTTTACATTTTAATCAATTAGATTTATGGTAAGGCGGAAAGGGATGATAAAGAAGCAGTCTTGCGCAAACTTCATGGACTCGAATCAATGGACCCAAATGTCACATTTGCTTTGTGCTGTGGCACACGCTCTTCTCCTGCGGTAAGTGTCCATTTAAACTTTAAAGTGTTGTCAAGTGGATATATAATTATCATCTTTGGGTATCGTGTCCTAAGTGCTCATATGTTTCGATAAAAGGTGAGAGTCTATACAAGTGATGGGGTAGTGAATGAGTTGGAAAGAGCAAAGCTAGAGTACCTACAAGCTTCAATAGTTGTAACAAGTGCAAAGAAAATTGGACTACCAGAGCTTTTGCTTAGAAACATGCATGATTTTGCACAAGACTTAGAAAGATTGGTGGAATGGTTGTGCCAAGAATTGCCAACTTCTGGTTCATTGAGGAAATCAATGGTGGATTGCTTTAGAGGAGTGAATAATGCAAAGGTTGCATCCATTGTGGAGAAGCTACCTTATGAATTTGAGTTCCAATATTTGTTGCCGATGTAAGCTTTTGCACCTTCCTTTGTATATTTGTGGATACATATATATATGTACATATTGATAAATAAAATCATATTTGTATGTTGGATATTTTTGAAAATTTCCATTGATTTTGAATTTAGTTTCTGTTTTAATAATAAGATCGGGTTGTTCACTATTCACCTAAAACAAAATGTTTAATTGGATAATTTGGATTAAACAATATGGTTTGAATAGTAGGATTTTTATCTTGCAATAGACCTAAACCAAATTATTAACTTGTATTTTGGTTGGATTTGGTTACTAAAATATAAACTAATGGTCCAAACAAGCTGAATAACATTGTTTGGTTTATTTATTTATATTTTATATTTATATATAAATATTTTCAATTATATATTATTTTATTAGCATTGTTTTATGTATGTGAGTTATTCATTAAGATGACATGAGATAATTTGTGGATTTAAACTTGACTAATTAAGTTTGTTATGCTAAACTTATATATATTTTGGAATTTTTTGACTTTTGAAAAACGAATTATGGTAAAACATGATCCAACATAATTATAAGCTGGTGGTTCGAATCGAATTTTAATTTAATCCTGACTATTCGGATCCATGTTGTAAAAACAAAAATCAATTTAAATTTATTTGATCGCAAATCAATCCATTCAAACAGACATCCATAACAATAAGTTAGTTGTTGAGAAGTTTTGCGCATTAGTCATTAGAAACCTGTTTAAAACTTTAATCGTGTTCATAAATTACCATATTCAATTCAAGCGACAAATCCATTTTGAATGTGACTGACAAAATCATATATTAAACTATAACTGGATCTGAACAGTTTGTAATTCTTATTATCCAAATTGGATTTTTTTTTTCTTCCTAGATTGCAGATCCAATACAAAAACCAAACCTACCTATTCCAATTGGATTTATCTAGCAGGACATTCGATATTCCAATTAATAAAATAATATTTATGTGTATATTTATATCTATTTTATCGTAATTTTCGTTGTTGTTTAGTTGGATGAACAATAGATAATTAATAGTGGATATTCATTAGGTAGAAGTAATGCAGTTCAATGTCCAATTGGATCTGTTTGGTTCAATCGACCACAACCAATTGGATTAGAAGTGTTATTGTTATTCAACATAGAATGGATAATTAGATTAAACCAGTTTTATAAAAAATATCATATGTGAACCGATGAAAGACCTCAAAATAACTTATTCAACTTATGGTTTATATAAAAACCAGATTTGGCACCCTGTGCCATGCTGCAAAAATAACTTTGTAATTGAAAACCAAATTTGTAAAAACAAAATAATATAAAAAAATACACATGAAAACGATGAAAACGACGATGTAAATATAAAACTAAGTTTGTGAAAAGAAAATCATAAAATATAAAATAGAAATTGCGAAAAAAATATTTTTCTAAAATAACAATTTTGAATAAAAATATAAGAAAAGTTTGTAGGATCAAATTCATTAGAAAAAATTAAAAGTAAAGGTAAATTTGTAAAAACAAAAAGTTAGATTCGGTGGGCTTTTAAAGAAAAAGTGGGAATTTTTTGGTAAAAATAGTTGGACAAAATTTTTAAGTTGGCCCATACATGTGAAAAGAAAATGAAAGGCCAGCCTAAATTTGGATCGGACTATAGGCCCGTGTTATAACACAATTTCACATAAAATTTCACATGTAACCTTAACCTTAACACCTTCTTAACATCATATAAGATATAAGAAATGGTGTTGCTATATTATAACATGTTAAGAGATAGGGGTTAAGAGATAGGGAGATAAAGAAAGAAAGAAGAAGAAGAAAATAAGGATTGGTTGATTTCTCTCGTTAAGACATGCTGTTACCACATCTTATACCATAACATCATTTGGGGGTGGTTCATGGCCTAATAACGTCGTTATGGTGTGCAGATTCAACCATGACAGCTTGTAACGCAATGCATACCCAACACTCTTATGACTCGTGTATAAGAACTGAAAAGAAGAGCGATTGAACCATCAACATTTTAATCTTTGACAACAAATCATTGTATTACTTCTTTAAAATAAGAGAGATTGTTCATTTAAATAATGTACAATATGTTTGTAATTATTATCTAAGTGAATAAAACATATATATATATATATATATATATATATATATATATATATATAGGGTTGAGTTATTTTGTTCTAGGTAACTATTGTGTGCATGTAAGGAGAATTCTGGACCAATAGATTAAAATAATGAATGACTATGATTTTGAGGGTCTATGATATTACAATGGAATATCATGTACCATAATATCACTCAAATTTAATTAAAATGGTATTTTAGACAATTAACTATACTTAAAAAAAGAAATTTTCAAATTTGAAGGGATAATTCTTATGTTTTTTTTTAAATATTAATTCAATTTCAGTTAAACTTAATTTGTAGTCATAACCGATTACAACTTATTTTATTCTATCAGAATGTGATTCTGTTATAATAACAATTTATGACATCCTTTAAGAATACATAAATAAGAAGGAAACACGAATAAGTATATTATGAAACAATATACAAAATCGATTCTTGAACTAATAATATATCGAATAATTACACTCTATGATTGTGATACAGAAAGAACATTCTTGAATAATAACAACATTCTGAAAGAATAACAAGTGTAATTTTTAAAAAACAACAACATTCTTAAACTGTAAGTGTGATCAATCTTTGATTCATTCTTCACGTCATTCTTATAATGTCTTCAAGCCATTCCTATCACAAATATATCAGAAACATCAAAATCCAACAAAAAACACTAAGTCATTCTGAAAGAATAATATTGCCAAGATTTGTTTTATACATTCTGGCGGAATACATTCTACTATAAGACACTCTTGTTCTCCATATTTTCTTTCTTCTCCACATGAATGACAAACTCTTCAAAAACTAAAAAGAAAAAAAAAACCATCAAAATCTAACAAAAACACTAATCCACTAAACGAACTGACAAAATATATGACATTTTAATAAGCAAAAAAGATTCTAAAAGAATCATTGAATCTAAAGTGCAATTACTATTTAATTCTGACAGAATATATATATGACATTTTAAATTTTGGCACAATATATACAACATAGTAAATTAGCAAGTTGTAATTCTGACAGAATAATTAGGGCAATAAAATATGATCATAAAACAATTTATTTGTAATGTTGGTTGGGTCAGACAATTCATCAAACACTTGGTGTGCGAAACTAAAAGTGAGAATACATTTGATTCTTGGAGAAATACACATAATAAAATGAGGTAAAATGAGGGATTTCATAATTTTTTTTCTTTTCTTGTTTGTTCCTACCTAACCGAAGTAAAACAAACCACAATTCTTTTGTGTGTTTCAAGCCCAAAACAACCTCATGAATAGTGAAGAATTGCTTGACCACTTACTGAGTTTGAAAACCAATTTCAAGGTGAAAAGCAAGTAATGCAAAAATTGAAAACTAACAGTACGAGGTGGATTGATATTGAAAGAAAATAAAATATCTGACTTTCACTCTTTTAACAACCTCTCACTAATTAATTTACCAAAAATCAATATAATAGCTATATGTCTAAAACAAACCCCCAAACAATCCAAATCAATAAAAACGAACTAATAAACTCAAATGTTTTAAGTCTTTTTTTACGTCATGCATTCTGCAATAGTTCGATTGTTTACGGTTCAATGAACTTGAAGATAATTTCTAAATGTTAACAGAAATGAGTGAAGTAATAAACACACCTATTTTTTTCTCTGTCACAATCTTCTTCATTGTCGGCGCCAAATCAACCTTATGAAACAAGAGGCAAGTAGGCGGAGGCCAGGAAACCAACAATGACTGGACCGGTGGCCGGAAAAACGGTAAGAAACCGAGGGAAGGGGGAATCGTTGCAGATTTACGTAAGAACATTGATCCTGAAACCAATACTTGTTTTTCAATCAAAATCAAAATCACCACAAAAGGCCGTGGAAATCGATTTCACAGAGGGTGACTCGGTGGAATGTACAAACGAAACCCTACAGAGAGTGATGGTCGATGATTTTTGAGGCCGATCGTTTGAAGATAAAGAGGGGAGAAGACTAGGTTTTAGGAAGTTAATGAATTACCATAATTAAATATGCAAAGATTACTATAATACCCTTAAATGGTTTATTTAATGATTTATTATTTCCTCAATTCTTATTGGTGTATACATGCACAAAATAGTTGCTAGAAACATTTGAACCTACCTCTCTCTCTCTTTATATATATATAGATGTTTAGATAGATAAATTAAATTTTTAAATGAACAATCATTTTCTTTAAAATGATATAAGAGATTTTATTTAAAGACTAATTGAGTTTATTAAATTTAATAAAACATATATTATTTTGATTTTACATTTCAATAGAGGTGTTTGAGATTTAATTATTTAAAGTTGTTATTAATGTATTACCGATGATAAGAAATTTTTAAGTGTTTTGATAGAAATAACTATTTGTTGATTTAAATAAGAATCTTTTGATATGTTACCTACTCTTTATTTATTAACTTCTTTAAAATTGATTTTCTAACATGTGTTTTAATTGGGATTTGATAAGTAATTTCTTAATTACATATATATAAACACCATCAAACATTAAAAAACAATTTACCAATTTATTACGATTTGGTATTAGATGAAGTATACCAAACATTTTTTAAACTCTCTTTTAAGATCGGATAAATAATAAACACTTTTATTAAGTGGGTATTTGTGATATAAAAAAAATTATAAACACTTATTGATTTAAATAAGAAGTTTTTGATAACTTATTTATTCCTTATTTATTGAATTAGTTAACAATTAGTTTTTTTGATAAGTTATTTCCTAATTATATACACAATTTGTCTAACACTAATTGGGTGTTTGGGATTGCTTTTGAAATTGACTTATTAAGTTATTCACTTTTTCAAAAAGACAATAAATTAAAAATGTGTTTGGTTTCTTAAAAAGTCATTTTGAAATGACTTTTTAACAAATGAGAAA